TGGGCCGGACGGAATTCCCGGAGTGATCTGGAAGATCGCCACGGAGGAACTAGAGGAGAGGGTAAAGGCACTATACACACTGTGCCTGAAGGAGCAAAGGTTCCCAAGCATATGGAAACAGTCCAGCTTGGTACTATTGCGGAAGGACGGCAAGCCGGAGGACGCTCCAAACGGCTATCGTCCGATATGCTTGCTGGACGAGGCTGGCAAGACGCTCGAGCGCGTCATAGCTGCTCGCCTCGTTCAGCATATGGATAGTTCGGGACATAGGCTGTCGGCGAGACAGTTCGGGTTCCGGGAGGGAAGATCGACCATCGACGCGATCAGGTGCGTCAAATCCCTCTCGGACCAGGTGGTCGAGGAGGGGGGAGTTGTGGTAGCGGTCGCTGTAGATGTAGCGAACGCATTCAACTCCCTCCCCCACGAGGTCATCAACGAGGCCTTGGTGAAATTTAGGTTCCCGAGGCCCCTGATAGGCATCGTTAGGGAATACCTCAGGGATAGGGTGATTACCTGCATAGACAGGGGAGGCGCTCGGCGCAGCTGGGCGGCAGGGTGTGGTGTCCCGCAGGGGTCGGTTTTAGGACCACTCCTGTGGGACATCGCATACGACGAGGTTTTGGACGCGGCGGTGCCTGCCGGCAGCACCACGGTGTGCTACGCCGACGACACCTTGGTGCTCGCCGGTGGGGACAGTTGGGAGACGGCAGCCGAAAAGGCCAATCTGGCGGTAGCGTGCGTGGTCAGATCGATCAGAGCGCTCGGCCTGACAGTTGCTGTCAACAAGACGGAAGCCGTCTACCTGCACAACGGTTCTCACGGCAGCCCGCCCGACACATATCTGAGAGTGGAGGGGACTAAAATCCGGATGGGCAAGTCCATAAGGTACCTTGGACTCCAAATTGATGGAAGATGGCGGTTCGAGGACCACTTCGCGAAGCTGGCCCCCAGGCTGGGGTGTGTAGCCGGCGCGCTTTCCAGGTTGATGCCCAACCTGGGCGGGCCAAGCTGGAGGACAAGGAGGCTCTACGCAAATGTGCTCAGCTCCATCGCGCTGTATGGAGCACCGGTGTGGGCTGAAGCGTTGGGTCGGAGCGCGAAGGCACGATCCATCCTCAACAGAGCCCAGAGAAGGATGGCCGTGCGCACAATCAGGGCGTACCGCACGATCTCGCACACGGCGGCCACCCTGCTAGCGGGATCCCCGCCGATAGATTTGGCGGCAAGGTGTCACGCAGCAGCGTACGAGCGTGTCACGAGGCTCAAGGAGGGCGGCGTCCCCATAACACCGGGGGTTAGGAGGGTTATCCGTCTCCGGCTTAAGGACGAAGTGAGAGAGGAGTGGAGGGCTAGACTCTCGGAGCCCAATAGGCCCGGGAAAAGAACAGTAGAGGCTATACTGCCGAGGCTGGACGAATGGCTCGACAGAGCAGGGGCCAAAGCGTCCTTCAGGACGACACAGGTGCTCTCCGGACATGGTTGTTTCGGGGAGTACCTGTGTCGCATAGGACGAGACGACGACGCGCGGTGCAGGCACTGCGACGCGGACAGGGACTCGGCGCAACATACTCTAGAGGAGTGCCCAGCCTGGGAGGAGGAGCGCCGAGTCCTGTCTGACACGATAGGCGGCGATCTGTCGCTGGGAGCGGTCGTGGAGGCCCTCGTGAGTGAGGAGGAGGCCTGGGTGGCCTTCTCGGTCTTCTGCGAGAAGGTGATTTCGCGGAAGGAAGGGGAGGAACGAGTGCGGAGGGGTGAGGTCGATCCCCCCCCGACGCAACAGGGAGGAGGAGGCGCTCCGCCAAGAAGAGGGAGGAGAGGCGGGCGCAGGGGCCAACCGGCCCATTTGAGGAACTAAGGCACCGTGCAACCCTAGATGCAGAGGACACAGAGTTCCATGACGAAGTGGGGGGCTCGCGTACGGAGGAGGACTGTCGGTCCGAGTCCGGCGAAGCCTTCCCGACACCTTGCCCGTTACGGGCGGGGTGTTTGGCGTCCGGGTCCCGCCGCCGAATAGGCCCGGGGTATCCCCTGCCTGGCGTAAGAGGCGTCCTAAAAGGGGAGAGGAGAGGGTAGTATAGACCCTGGGGGTGGGCACAGCTGAGGACTGTGGCTCACCCTGCCCCCAACACCAACGAGGGGCGCGGCGGGAGGCCCGGTGGCACCCCCGCCGCAACTCGGGAGGAGGTGGCCCTTCTCAGGGCCAGACCCGAGAAGAAGGCCCTTATTAGGGCCGTGCCCGACCATTTGGGCCAAGAGGTACGCGAAGACTACGCGTGGCGCGGGGACTGTCGAGCAGTGATGCGAGCGTGTGCCCTCGACAGTTCCCAATAGCGCAGAGAAGTCCACCCCCGGTGGTTTTAGTGCGGTAGGCGTCTCCATTGCACTACTGGTCCCATGGGTGTCAACTGCCCAGGGACCAGGGAGACGAGTCCCACACACCCCCCCGTCCCTGTCCCAGCAGGGCGGGGGGACGGTCCATGAGGATTTCCACCGGGTCAAAAAAAAAAAAAAAAA